GATAAAGACTGAGTTTCAATCTAAAGGTGTAAAGGCATGTTTAGTCAAGGTGTTGGTTTGTTTTCTTTGCAGGGTTTTTTGAGTTTTATTTCGGATAGGACAGATAACATAATTTCACACATACAAATGTATTTTTTTAAATGCCATGCTGACATCCCTGTTTTGCTTGTCCTAAATTTCTAAACAGCACAAATATGATATTTCTACGCAATACTTACCATATGTAATCTTCTATTCATTCCATACTCAAGAAATAAGAGTGGTTTATGCTGTCATTGTCAGTAAGTTATTTATAAATAACTTCATTCTTTGAATGACTTTGAACTTCATTTAGGAAAAATTTTGTCACCTAGTGTGTTATAGCAATAGCTTGATTATGTTTGATACCTTCGCCTCCTGTGTATATTAAAATGTGGCTTCCATGTCACTAGAAAGAACTCAAAGTCTTCAAACCAGTGCTCAAAACATCCAAAGAATGTTATAATATTAGACACATTTCCCCTATGGTGCCCAAAAAAGAAATAAAATATTGACTGGCTTGATAATTGACCGATTACAGCAGGCTCCAACAAACTATAACCTGTAGGCCAAATTGGGTCTGCCACCTTTTCTATTAAAGTTTATCATTTTTTAAATTATTATATAGATAATATATGATTATGTTATGTAATTGCTATATAATGTATTAAAGTTATTTAACTTTATAAACTTTTATTAGGATACGGCCACATAGATTCATTTATATATATAACCCATGGCTGCTTTCACACTATTACATACTGCTGAATTGGTTGTGACAGAGATTGTGTGGCTTGCAAAACTTAAAAAATTATTATCCTTTATAGAAAAGGTTTGCCAATCCCTGTGTTGGAGTTGCATAAATCTATAGGAAAGATAATTCTTAATTTCTGAAACAGATCTCAAATGTGAGCTTTCCAAGACTATTTTTATTTATATTAAGACTTGTAACTCAACAAGTATATATTGGACACACTCTGTGAGCAAACTCTTTACTAGACTACAAATATACAGAACTCAACAAAACTTCTGGTCTTACTTTTCTAGGTGTAATCAACTAGACAATCAACAACCAACAGAATAATCAAAATCAGTAAATCAACAAAATAATCAACAAATCAACAAAATGAATGGAGAAATATTAAAATACTATGCCAATGATCCTATGTGCAAAACAAAGAAGAAAAGGGAACAGGAATAAGAGGAATTAATAAATACATATTTACCACTGTGTGTCTGTGTGTGTGTGTGTGTGTGTGTGTGTGTTTGGATGTGTGTATATATATATATAGTATTCTAAGATTATCCAGTAAATCCAGTAAAGTAACAACTCCTTAACTCAAATGCTGGTGTCCTAAATCTATTATATTCAGGCCAGATACCATTAAAATACCCCACTCATCTTCACTTTTAATCTGTGTATGTTTCTGTGCCCACAATTCAGAAAATGGAGGAAGACCAAAGAATAATAATAATACACAAAATCAATCCCTACAGAAAAATCTGTCTCATTTACCCAGTCTGTATAATTCCATATAAATTCAGTGCTTAAATCCAAGCTATAAACCTTCTATAATATTATGTAAAAAAATTAAATTCAATATAAAACTATTCAATCAGTGTGGCAAATAATAATAGCTCAATAGTATCTCAACACATTTGGAGAGCACAAGGAAAAAATGTCTAATAATATTACAAATCATTCTCCCAGATATATGGAATATCATTGTAATTTAATCATTAAATTACCTCATGAAATTTTGTTATAAACTATAAGAAATAGAAAGCTATACATAAGTGTAATCCAAAACAATGTTATATTTTTACCTTGATAGAGCAAAAGGTAATTTGTATTTTTTGTTTAGAACTATGTAGACAATGCACAACTGGTTTTATCTCCCATTATGTGTGCCCAAAAATAAGAAAATGAAATGGGAATAGGAGTTTATCGTATGACACATTGAACTTCCAATACTTATTGTAGTTTTTCAGTGCAACTCTGCTCTGGGTTTTGATTAACCTTCTTATTCCTTAAGTTAGATCTTAGTTTCTTGATGCTTCTGTTTTAGGAGAAAATTACTATTAGAATATTCAAGATAGCCTTAAATATTAGGATGCAAGAAAATATGTTAAAAACCATTGATTTCTATTCTTCTGAAATTTATATTCTTTCTTTTTGATTTTTGCAATAATTGTTCATGGAAGGTAAAGTGATCACAGTCATAAAATATTAATTAAATGGCAACTCTCTTTGAAATACCTTATAGTACTAATATTTTCTGAACTCATGTTCTAGCAAGCAGTAAATAAGACCTGACCTTAAATGGTTTCTAAATGAAATTGAAATTTTAATTAAAATATAAATGAATGTATTTAGTATTATTTCAGTTTTAAGAATATACTTACCATTACTATAAGTCTCTTACATTTTTTTTAAACTTCCAATTGTGTATTCAAAAACATTAATAAGAACAGTGTTATTCAATCCTCTTCTTCTTCCCCACACACCCTCCCCTTTGGTAACCATTAGTCCCTTCACATGTCTGTGAGTCTACTTCTACATTGTTCCTTCCCTTTTGCTTTGTTTTTATACTCCACAAATGAGTGAAGTCATTTGGTATTTGTCTTTGTCGGCCTGGCTTACTTCACTGAGCATAACACCCTCTAGATCCATCCATGTTGTTGCGAATGGCAGGATTTCTTTTCTTTTTATGACTGAATAATATTCCATTGTGTATATGTACTGCATGTTCTTTATCCAGTCATTCATTGATGGACACTTAGGTTGCTTCATATCTTGGCTACTGTAAATAATGCACCAATAAGCATAGGAGTGCTTATGTCTTTTTGAATTAGGAGTTTTGTTTTCTTCAGTTAAATTCCTAGGAGTGGAATTACTAGGTCAAGTGGTTTTTCTATTTTTAGTTTTTTGAGGAACTGTGATACTGTTTTCCATAACATTGAACCAATTTACATTCCCACCAACAGTGTAGGAGGGTACCCCTTTCTCCACATCCTCGCCAGCATTTGTTGTTTCTTGTCCTTAGGGTAGTGGCCATCCTAACTGGTATGAGACGATATCTCATTGTGGTTTTAATTTGCATTTCCTTGATGATTAATAACATGGAGCATCTTTTCATGAGCCTGTTGGTCATCTGTATTTCTTCTTCGGAGATGTGTTTGTTCAGCTCCTCTGTCCATTGTTCAATTGGGTTATTAGCTTTTTCAGTATTAAGGTTACGAGTTCTTTATATATTTTAGATATTAACCCCTTATTGGATAAATCATTTATAAATGTTTTCTCCCGTATGGTGGGATGCCTTTTTTGTTCGGCTGATGGTGCCCTTTGCTGTACAGAAGCTTTTTAGTTTGATGTAGTCTCACTTGCTCATATTTCATATTGTTTCTCTTGCCTGAGGAGATGTGTTCAGGAAAAAGTTGCTCATGTTTATTCTCAAGAGATTTTTGCCTATGTTTTCTTCTGAGAGTTTTATGGTTTTCTGACTTACATTCAGGTTTTTGATCCATTTTGAGTTTACTTTTGTGTATGGAGTTAGACAATTATACAGTTCCATACTCTTGCATGTCTTTGTCCAATTTTCCCAACACCAGTTGTAGAAGAGGCTGTCTTTTCCCCATTGTATGTTCATGGCTCCTTTATCATATATTAATTGACATATATGTGTGGGTTTATGTCAGGGCTCTCTAGTCAGTTCCATTGGTCTATGGGTCAGTTCTTGTGCCAGTACCAAATTGTTTTGTTTACTGTAGCTTTGTACTAGAGCTTGAAGTCAGAAAGTGTAATACCCCCATCTTTGTTCCTTCTCAGGATTGCTTTGGCTAGTTGAGGTCTTTTGTGGTTCCATATGAATGTTAGGACTATTTGTTTGAGTACACTAAAGAATGCTGTTGGTATTTTGGTAGGGATTGCATTGAATCTATAGATTGCTTTAGGCAGGATGGCCATCTTGGCAATATTAATTCTTCCTATTCACGAGCATGGGATAGATTTCCATTTATTGGTGTAATCTTTAATTTCTCTCACGAGTGTCTTGCATTTTCAGAGTAAAGGTCTCTCAGCTCCTTGGTTAGTTTATTCTAAGGTATTTTCTTCTTTTTGATGCAATTTTAAATGGAGTTATTTTCCTGATTTCTCTTTCTGCTAATTCATTGTTAGTATGTAGGAATGCAACAGACCTCTGTGCATTAATTTTGTATCCTGCAACTTTTCTGAATTCAGTTATTAGTTCTAATAATTTTTGGTAAAGTGTTTAGGGTTTTCTATGTATACTATCATGTCATCTGCAAATAGTGACAGTATAACTTCTTCTGAACCAATTTGGATGTCTTTTATTTCTTTGCGTTGCCTGATTGCTGTGGCTAGGACCTCCAGTACTATGTTGAATAAAAGTGGTGAGAGTTGGCATCATTATCTTGTTCCTGATCTTAGATGAAAAGCTTTCTGCTTTTCACTATTATGTATGATCTTGACTGTGGGTTTGTTGTATATGGCCTTTATTGTATTGACGTACGTACTCTCTATACCAATTTTATTAAGTTTTTTATGATGAATGAAAGTTAAATTTTGTCAAATGTTTTTTCAGCATCTATTGAGATGATCATGTGATTCTTGTCCTTCTTTTAGTTGGTGTGGTATATGATATTGATGGATTTATGAATATTGTACCACCTTACATCTCTGGAAGAAACCCTACTTGGTCATGGTGGATTATCTTTTTATGTATTTTTGAATTTGCTTTGTTAATATTTTGTTGAGTATTTTTACATCTATGTTCATCAGGGATATTGGTTTGTAATTTTCTTTTTTTGTGGTGTCTTTGTCTGATTTTGGTATTAGAGTGATGTTGGCCTCATAGATTGAGTTTGGAAGTATTCCCTCCTCTTCCACTTTTTGGAAAACTTTAAGGAGGATGGGTATTAGGTCTTCACTAAATGTTTGATAAAATTCAGTAGTGAAGCCAAAAAATATGGTACACTTCATGAATTTACATGTCATCCTTGCACAGGGGCCATGCTCATCTTTTCTGTATTGTTCCAGTTTTAGTATATGTGCTGATGACATGAGCACAAGTCTCTTACATTCTTATAAACACTTTTTTCTACTTACAAAGAGGTTATGTCCCGATAAACTCACTGGAATTAGAAAATATCCTAAGTTGAAAGTGCATTTAATATTAATACATCTAACCTATCTACCATCATATCTTAGCCTAGTCTACCTTAAAGGTGATCAGAACACTTACACTAGGCTACAGTTGGGCAATTTTATCTAACACAATGCATATTTTATAATAATGTGTTGAATATCTCATGTAATTTATGGAACACTATAGTAAACATGAAAAACAGAATGGTTTTAAGTGTAGAAGTAGTTTACCCTCAAGATCATATGGCTGCCTGGGAGCTGGCTCACTGCCACTGCCCAGCATTACTAGACTATTGAACTACACACCATTAGGCCAGGAAAGGATCAAAATTCAAAAATCAGAGTACAGTTTTTACTAATATGTATCACTTTTGCACCACTATAAAGTAAAAAAATCTAGTCGAACCACTATAGGTTGGATAGTGTATATTATTTTTTCCAAAAGTATTGTGGAAGAGTGGTTCTACTATGGGGAATTTATTTTTTCTAAAAAAATCACTGTATTACATTATATGCTTTCTCTGGTTCTAACAAATATGACTCGCAACCATTTGATTATTATTTCCTGAGTTCTATACTAACATTTCTTTTTAAGATGTTAACTGTTTGCAGGTCCTTGATGGTACCATTCACTAGCAAGTGAAGGGGAAGTCAGTACTCTTTAAAGTTGCAAAATGAGAATCAGCCCCTATGGTTGGTGAGATTCTCATTGCTTGGGTGAATAGTTATTCTTGCTATGACTCATCAATATACAGTAATCTCTACTTACCCACAGTTTTGTTTTCTGTAGTTTCAGTTACCCAAGGTCCATGGAGGTCCAGAGGAGATGGTCCTCCTTCTGACAGTATGTCAATAGTATCCCAGAGCTATGTCACCATGCCTACATCATTCACTTCATTGCATCTCTTCACATAGGTATTTTATCATCTCACATCATCACAAGAAGGGTGACTATAGTATAATAAGATATTTTAAGAGAGAGTGACCACATTCACATAACTTTTATTACAGTATATTGCTATAATTGTTCTTTTTGATTATTTGTTGTCATTGCTAATCTCTTACTGTGACTAATTTATAAATTAAACTTTATCATGGCTATGTATATATAGGAAATAAACATAGCAAAGTGTTGGGGCTATCCATGGTTTCAGGCATCCATGGGGAGTGCTCTTAAAACATATCCCCTGCAGATAAGAGGGGACTACTATAAAACTTTTTCCAAATATCTGAGTATCTTTTTCCTAGTCAAAGTAATGAAAAAAATTAGTAAGCCAGTAGACTTAACAGTATAATGAGGGCATTCAACAAAAAGAATTAAAATACTGCTTTAAGATGAATTACTGGAATTGTCCAAGAATTTTATGGCTGCCATTGGCATTATCAGTGAGATACCTGTTTATATTAATTCTAAAGTTGCCTAATAAAAGGCAAACATGTAATCAGAACAGAAGGTAATCTAAAAAATGAAAGGCATAAGAATAAAAATCTCTTCTACTAAGAAGTCTTTCTACATTACAAGTAATAATCATATTTGTTTCACATGGCATAGCCCACGTAAGAAAAATAAGTTAAAAGATAATACAAGGAAAAACAAGAAATTTGTTTCTACTTATGCTGCTAATAGCTTTCTTTGGGTGAAGAGTGACATTTATACTTAAGAGCCAAACATATTTAATAAAAACAAATTGTCATAAAATACATATGTTCAGGAAATAATGCTTTGAAGAGCTAAATTTCTGGAATTACTGTTATTAAATGCCATGTCAGTTTAGACCTGGGAACAGAAATCACTCTTGGAATTCAAGCATAATCCTGTACCAAAGAGATATACTTTGGGGTGGCCTGTTCCACTACCTTTAAGGAGCAACAAGAGTCCATCAGTGACTGCAACATATTAAAAGGTTCAGTGTGGTGTTTCTCCAAGAGTGGTTAATGGATGGATAACCTAAGGTATTTGTTAAAAATTGAACTTTCTGGGCTATCTCTCAGTCTTACTAAGTCCACATATCTTAATAGGAACTAAAAATCTTTATTGTTACAAAGCTCCATGGGTGATACTCATGTGCAACATAATTGGACGACTGTAAGTCTAATGAAAAATAAAAATGCACAAACTCACCAGTGCAGCATTTTTTTGTTTTAAATTAGAATTATAGTAATTTTGTTAAGTATTCTCAGTTCATTTCATTTTAACCTTTGTTTTATTGAGCACATGTTTTCTTAATTTTCTAAATATTAATAGTGTACAGATGGGTAACACATCTCCTTGATCAAATAGCTTAAAGAACTGTGTGGATAAACAAACAAGTAAGCAGACAATTATGTCTAAAGTCCTAAAGACACTTTACAGACATATGCTCCAGGTAATATAAGAATACAGAAAATAGAGTCATAACCAGCTCTGTTAGGCTATTCAATGTGCTCCTGAGTAATAATATAAAAGTAAGAAAATAAATTTCAAAATGATAGCTTTTTTAGTAAACCACTCTTGCACTAAAAGGAATGTTCCATTAAAATAAATGAAATTAATTTTTAGTGTGAAAACACTTTTGGATATTCAACAGACTATATGATGCTTATAAATTATTATCAGAATCTAATAGTCAATAATTCCATGATTTTACATTTATTCTTACAGAAGCACATGATCATTCTCTTCCAGAGGTAACTGATTTGATATTTGGTAGATTGGTTAGTTGGTTGTTTGGTTTATGGCTGATTAATACTAAGTAGTGTCACTCAAAAAATTCTGCCTTATTAAGTAAGGCACACAGGATACTCACCATAGGGACAAATGCAGAGATCCTAAGCATTACCAACCTAATTTTTTATTGGGGTATAGGAAAGCCATGTACCTCTCTACCCCACCTCTTGGGATGTCTTATAATTCTGGATGTGGAGTGGTGGCCTGACCCGTTCTGCCCTTACATTCTGTGAGCACTGGTTACAGCTAAGGAAATGACTAATCATTGACTATTTCCTCTAACTGCTGGGAGCCCCTGCTGGTCTCTGGCATTCCTGTTAGTTTTGAAGAGGTAATACACGGGAGTCGCCTGACAGTTTCCTGAGAGTCTGTAATTTTAGAGGCAGAAAGGGCATTGAAGGTCATTAACCACTCCTCCTCATACAGATAAGGAAACTGAGGTGCATAAAGGCTATGTGACCTTGCACAAACTCCAGGGTTGGTGCAAACTCTGGCTGCAGCACCAGAACTAACACTGAAGTGCCCAGAGTCCTTGACTAGGCCTTCCCCTAAACCATGAAGCCTCAGTCTAAGGACTGCCTTCTCCAGCTCCTTCTAGGACAGTCCGCATGGTGGAAACCGCTTGATGATCCCTGGTCTCCTAGCCCTAGAACTCTTGGAGTCTGATCAAACCAAGCAGAGGTTGTAAGGTCTTAATAGGAACCGAAAGAAAGATTTACTTTGGTAATTAAAAAAAATACCCAGAGGCCTAAGGTACTTACTCCTTCTCTACCTGGGACAGCTGGACAAGTGAGGTTTTATATGTATCTATATATGTATGTATCCATATAGATATAGATGTAGATATATATAAAATGCATAGACACACACACATATATGTAATCTGTGTATATGTATATGTGTGTGTATATCTATGTATATATGAAAACTGATTTTATGTAAAGCACAGTAATACAAATATTTGAAGAGGATCGTTTATATTTTGTGGTTCATGAAAACTATGATCTGTGATCCTATAGCTGTGCTGTGTTCTGTAGAGTCTGCTTCAAGGTGCTACCTGAAGTCTGGACCTAGTCCATGGTTTAAAACAGTCTGTTACTTCCATCTCGGGAGCATTTTAGAAATTTGAAGGGAAATATTTTGTTGATACGATAATTAGGGGGCTTTCAGTGGGAGGAATCAGGAATGCTCTAGATCTGTTATGTAGAAAACAGTCTCTCACAATGAACTCTCTGTGTTTCACACAGCTCTTCATTACGGAGCTGGACATTCAATAGATGAAAAATATGTTTATAATTTCAGAGTCTAGAACACACTTTTTTTCACAGTTATGAACTATACCTAATTTTCTAGGAATAAAACTACAGTACAATCAAGGGAAGATTCTTCAGAAATTGTTCAAGTGCTTATCATCACTTTAGAAACCTTTGCTGCTGTAGCAAGGCTGTTTAAGCAATACGAGTTATAATAGTCATACAGTACTAGATACTTGTATCAGCTGGCAATCATACCTATTGCATTCATGGTAATTTTCTATAGCTGTGCAGGCACAAGATTACTTCTTATCCTATACAGATACATATCCCATCACTTAAAATAAAGTTTCCCCAAAGAAAACCTAATTCAACTTGAAACATACAGGCAGACCTTGGAAATATTGCGCATTTCGTTCCAGACCACCACAACAAAGCAAATACCACATTAAAGCGAGTCAAATGAATTTTTTGGTTTCCCACTGCATGTAAAAGTTATGCTTACACTAGAGTGTAGTCTATTAAGTTGTGATATAATTATTTCTGGAAAACAGTATACATACCTTCATTAAAAAAATACTGTATTGCTAAAAATATTAACCATCATCTGAGCTTTAAGCAAATCCTAATCCCTGATCACAGATCACCATAACAAGTATGATAACAAAAAAGTTTGAAATATTTCACGCTTTACCAAAATGTGATGGAGACACAAAGTGAGCAACTTCTATTGAAAAAATGGGACCAATAGACTTGCTCAAGCAGGGTTGTCACAAACCTTCAATTTGTAAAAAAGAAATCAATATATTTGAAGCACAATAAAAGACAACACAAAATAATCAGGTATGCCTATAAATCATGTCTGAAGCAATAAAGGTAAGTGATTATATTAGAGGGGTGCATTCCAAATACCAGAACCTTTATTGTTAATGATAAAATTCAAAATAAAGGATATGTTTTAC